ATAATAGATGATCCCATGCAATAAAAGTATTGGGAGAGGATGGAACCCTTTGCTTGCATTGTAATTATGTTTGGTCCCCAGTACAATTTGGGGGTTTCACTGGTTCCACCTCTCTTCTGAGATCAAACTGCCTAAATCTACTGTTGGAAATTGAATATCAAAGCTGAAGGACAAGATCTATGAATACTGTGCTCCAAATCCCTAACCAACAAATCCAACAGCAAACAACTCAGCAAAATCAACAGCAATCACCTGTGATGATGACAACCAAGATTATTGGTTCAAGTGATTTCGTGCCAGCACCAAAAGCACCACCAATCATACATCACCTTCAGCCAAGCTAGATTTATATCTTGATCATCAAGAGCCCAATGATGAAGTTCCAGAACAAAAAGGAACTCTGCATCCTTGACTGGTGCAAAGAAAACTATGTGCACTTTCCTTACCTCTCTCAGCTGGTGATCAATACTTGTGTTAATGGCATTCACACTCTTGATGAATTCAAAAGTCAATTAAACCCAAAAACTCTTGAGGCACTGATCTGTGTCCAACACTGGTTGCAATCTGAAGGGCATGAAGAACATGATTGCTGGAAAATTACAAACAGAACTTTTCAACCCCTTTAACTTTTGAATCCCTCTTTTTGTTTCCTATTCATTTTTTATCTTGATCTAATTCTCAAGACACAGCCTGCCTGTTACCAAGGAGGTATACTCTCTCTCAACGGTGGGCCGCTACACTAACCGTAGCGGTTAGTGTAGCGTAACACAGCGGTATTCCTGTTAGCGCTAAGCGTAGCGTAGCGGAATTCCGCCACGACACCGCTAACACTATGAGTGTGGGCCACAAAAAAGGGCCCACTACGCTGCGCTACAGCGCTTTTTAGCGGTTTTTGGCCGCTTTTTCCGCTAAAAGCGCTGTAGCGCAGCGTAGCGTAGCGAAAAACCGCTAAAAACAAGCTAACACTACAATTTTTTGAGGAAAAAAAAGTGCCGCTACGCTATGCTTTTTGGGCCAAAAGCGTAGCGGCCCACCACTGTCTCTCTCTCTCTCTTTCTGAATATCTGTGGGTGTAGTTATTTCACAGAAAACAAAAACGCATGGAGTATGTTTCTTTTTGGAAAATTAGATTCAAATAAAGTGAAAGTAAAAAAAAAGGGATTTGAACTAGACCTAAAAAAAGCAAACTGAAGGAAGGAAAATAACTAACAATTTAGTCCATTTAAGAACAAAGAAAAAGAGAGAGCTGAAACAAATGAACATCAACAAGTTTTGTGTACATACATTGTGAAACCTACCCATCCAAAATAGCCAAACCATTCATTCCAGACCCCCGCTGACGGGATTGATACTCAATGATTTTCTGGTCTCCTTTTTTAAGGAGATTTTTCCTTAATGATACTACTCCTGAAACAGGTGTTGATTGAAGGTAGAATGTAACAGTTCCTGTGGGGCCCCCAGCTGGATACAAATCTGTTCAAAATCCAGACATTCTCAGACCTATCAGGGGGCTTGCTGCCCTACACTAATGAAAGTGGAGGACGTTGGCATGCAATATTACAGCCAGAATGATTGACTGGGTTGAGATGATCCCAGTTAAACTGGGATGCACTCAACCCATTTCAAATCCAACCAATGAAATATGAATACAAGATACCCCCCCCCCTTGAATTTGAATTTCATAGGTTGAAATCAACCCATTTGAAAATGGCTGATGACATCCTAGTTTACAAACTGGGATCGTCTCAACCCATTTGAATCATGCTGCCATGTATGTCAACTGGCACCAGTCTAGCAAGATGTTTTTTTTTCTCATACAGTCATGTTGCAGATGTCAATTTACATAGACCTGAAGATTTCTGCAGGGAAATCTAGCCTCTGAGGTAGGGTTGTCGGCGCCACCCCCTGGTGCGCGCCAAAGTGCGCGCCAAAGGTGCGCGCCCCGGGGGCGCGCACTTTTTTCCAATAAGGTGGGGTGGTGCGCACCTCTAACCCTAACCTTTGTAGGGAGGGCCTGGAGGGTCCGGTGGCATCCCCTGCACAATGATGGGCCTTGAGAGAGCCGGGCATTGGTCTGGCGGACTGACAGGCTGTCAGATACATCATTTCCAATTTCGAAATATGTATGTAGCATCCAAATTCTAGATTCTGGATGGTCAAAATTGCAGACACCCAAAACAAACTGGTTGCTGGTACCAACTGGGACCCCACTGAACTTTGATTTTCTTAATAATTTTTATCATTTTGTTCCTTTTTTTTAGCCTGCACATATAGATCAATGTTTTTTTTCGCTTATTTTCTTACTATTTTCAGTTATAATGTTACCAATTAGAAAAAAAAATGGCGCCTGGGCGCGCCGCCCCTGCGCCAGCCAAAGGCGCGCCCCTTTGGAAGGCTTGGTAGGCGCCCATGGGCGCGCACTTTTTCAAACATGGCGCCGACAACCCTACAGTCTGAGGTTTTAAATTGGTTCTGGGAGACCCCCAGATCTTGATGGGGAGGTGTACATCCGGTAGCATGTACAGTATCCTCCCAGATGTTTATGTCTGGGGGTGAACTGTCACAAGTTGACTTGCACCCGCGCACTAAACTGCAGTGTGCGGGTGCAAGTCAACCTCTTCATCAGCCAACAACCCATTGCAGAACAACCTCAATCATCAACAATTGATCTCGGAACGACTTCGATTGAACTTGGAACGAACTCGGTTGACCTTGGCCCCAGGACAAATCCGATACACAGACATCAGTATGTATTTTTATTGTTTTTTATTGTTTTTTTGTTCTTTTTTTTCTTTTTCTGATTTCTGCTTTGTTTCTTCATTCATATGGAACAGGATCGTTTTGATGGGACGTATCCGAGGACAGCCCAACCTCACAACCGAGCAGAAGGCTTGCATCGCCGGCATGGTTGAAGCCGGGATGTCTCATGGTCGAGTCGCAAGGATTGTGGGCTCCGGACAAACAACGGTCTCTTCGATCGTTTCACGGGCTCGGACTTGTGGGACCGTCGAAACCGCTGAGAAGAGCGGCCTCGATCGAATAGCGAAATATGTCAGGTTGTGGAGGCCTCTAGTGGGCCAATCAAATATTGATTTTTTTATTTTTATTTTTTTATTTTTTCATTTCATAATCATTATCCCCCACCTCTCAGCTACCCTCCCCACTTGATTTTGTATTTTTAAAAAAATTATTAAAGAAAATAAAAAAATTGAATGATGCTTTTATTTTTTTAAAATGTAATGCATTTTGGTTTTTGTTTTTTTTTTGTTTCATATTCCTTTTTATCATCCCCCTATCCACCACTCCACAAAAACTCAGAATTTCATGTGTGATAGTTTTTTTTTAAATAAAGTAATCGATGTGTCATAAACAATTGGGAGGATACTGTACTATTGGCCCTTTTCTTGCAAGATCTTTCAAGCTCGGACAACACAAGAGAGCCCATGTCCAAGAGGGTTGAAAAACAATCATGAAATGGCATGCATTTGAATCTCCACTAGCATACTGATTTTAGATGCCCATGCCTAATAGCTTTGCAACCCTGTTTGATATAACTGTTCCCTTTGGAGATTGTGTTGGACTGCTTTTAGCACATTGCAGGCCCTCCAAAGAAAAGGAGGTACTCCTGTGAAGTGTCTGATGAAGTTGTTGTATGGGAGCAAGGCACATATTGGGTCAAAAAGAGCTTCATTAATAGATCTGGGTGGATTTCCAGGATCATCTCCAGTTCTGCAATCAAGACCAGAACAGCATGATTAACCAATCAAAGACAAACACAGCTAGTTAATTACCTGATATTTTCCTGTCCACATCATATATTAAGACATACAGACATGCACTAGAGTAATTCATTTAGCTTCTTCAGGTATTCAACATGGCTTCTTATTATCGTCAATTCTCTTCTGGATATGTTTTGTATGATTGTACGGATAGATAGGAAGTGAAGATGATGATTTTTTTTGGAGTACATAGACATGTGTTGTATCTCAGAGTAATCCGGTTTCAGGTCGAATAGTGTATGATTAGCTGATTGGGCTGTCATCTGCAAGTGGGAATACATAATCTCGCCTCATCAAACGCTTCTTCTTCTTTCTCCTCGCTTCTCTCTTCTCTTTTCTCTCTCTTTTTCCTTTTTTCTTTAATTTATTTTGTAGTAACACTTGAAAACGAACCACCCAGGAAGAAACAAATTACGATGGACAACTTAAGCAGAAGAACAAGAACAGGAACGAGAAGAACGAACCCATCAAAATGTCTCAAGCCCATCCTACTCAACATCATCATCATCAGCCTACTCAGTCGACCGACCCACTCCCAAACCATCTCAACCAACATGCCACTGCCGCCGATGGAATGGATCAAGCTGACCCCGAGCGGCACCACCTCGCCACCCGCGCTAAGCCACGGCTGTCTGATGGGCCCGACATACACCGACTCGACCAGCAGTCTGCCCGGGTTCAACCAAGCCTTCCTCTTCGGCGGTCGCTCAGCCGCCGGCACCTCCTCCAACGGCCTCTACATCCTCGACTACTCCTCTGATCAACCCGTCTGGTCCCAGCCTGCTCCCACCGTCTCAACCCTCTTCACCTCCTCCCCCCAGTCTCGCTCCCATCTCCTCTGCGGCTGGGATAGCGCTAGTAACTTCAGAAATCAACTCAACATCTATGGCGGCAGATCTGAGGACGGGCAACCCCTTGCTGATTTCTGGTACGTGCATACATATATATATATATTTGTTGCAGACAGATAGATAGATAGATAGAAAGATACAGGCCTTTGAATTTTGTCCATTCTGTCCAACAATCATAAACAAAAACAGGTACTACGATCCAACCAACCGATTCTGGGCGCAACCCAAAGACTTCCAGCCGGCCGACCATCCCGCCAGTTACGGCTCCATCGGCGGCATAGACCCGAGTTATTTACCCGCACCGCCCGGCACATCCAACTCGATCATCTATCTCGGCGGCTCTAATTCAACCCACACAAGCACTTCTCTTACCCCCGCCGCACTCTCTATCGATGGCCAACTCGGCAGTAATACTAATACCGTTAACGTTAATCTTTCGTCTCTGGCTTCCGGCCTCTCCGGTAATCCTTCCTCTAACAATCTCCTTAATGGTCGCTGGGGCGCAACCGGTACCATCATGCCTGGTCAGTTCACATAAACGAGTGGGATGTTTTTTTCTTCAAGCTACAATAAAACTCAACTGGCATTTTTTTTTTTTTTTCAGGTTCGAAACTCGTTGTATTTTCAGGTTGTAATGGTGATCCAGGGAACGAATTTAAGGATCCAGTTGACCCAAGTTGCTCGTTAACCAACGGAGGAATTCTATCATTCGAGTCAGGCTTTACAGCCTCCCAAATGTCCACACGAACCAGCCCACCCCGAAGTTCGTGGGCGGGATTCAATTACTGTCCGGCCCCACGCGTAGGAGGGACGATGGTCGCGAACCGGAACCGGTTTGACAGCTCGTATGCGAACCAGGTGATCATGATTGGGGGTCGGACGGACAGCAAGAATTGGGATGACCAGGGAGGGGCCAAGGCGGGCGAGGTAGACGTGCTGGATATTTCCTCGGGTGTGTGGGCCCGAGTGCTGCCGATGCGTCGAGATAACGTGACATTCAGTCAGAAAGAGGGTCTCCTGGCACTCGCCCTACCTTCCCGGATCGGCGCTTCCTCCGCCTCGACCAATTCCAGTCCAACCGATATCCTCGTCTACGGTGGCATCGATACCGTCTCCGGGCAAGCCTCCAACGAACTCTGGATCCTCCGGCTTCACCCCGCCAAACTTACCGGCAATGGGACTGCCGACGGGATCTCGATGACATACATGCCCAGCTGTGCCACTCCGACGCCTCAGAACAAGCGCAATACGACCAAGACAGCTCCCGGGGGCGGCCCAGTGCCCGTCGGCGATGACTCTACTAATACTCTTGAAGCCCCCTCCGGCCATCTTCTCTTCTCTGGCTTGGCTTTGGCCATCTTGATGCTTTCGCTCACTATCCTCCGTTGCGAGGAGCCCGGAAAACTGTCGATCAGGTCTCGATGGCGGACCAGTCGTCTATGGCTGCTCATCGGTGCCTGGCACGCCCTTGTCACAAGCTGCGCTTTACTCGCCCTCGCCATCGTTATCGGGCTCTTCCAGACACGCGTCCCCACACCCGCGCTCTCTCTCGCCCGGAGGGGTCTGTTCGACGGACACACCAATTACAACAAGCTACCTCCTCAAGACACTCTCAGCCAGAGTACTCATGCCCGACTGGGACTCGCGATCGCCATCGTCGGTTTCGTTCTCGTACCTGGGCTTTACCTCCTCAGCTGGCTCGACGAATCGCTCGAGTCCCGCCGGAAGAAGCACCAACAATCGACGGCCGACGGCGGTCCCCGGAAGTTGAAGGCCAAGGGCGCTCAAAGGAGCGGAGTGACCCGACGGGCGCTGGAGCGGATGTTTTTCCTAACCCGACAATCCTTTGCTGGCTCTTCTTCCCCAAAGCAGCAGGAACATCCTCGTCCGTCCAAGGAGGGCTCGCTAGGACGGAAGGTTGAGAGCGAGAAGCATGGCGAGCTCGTCGAGCGACGGGTCTCGGTGCCCTCGAGCATCGACCCTTCACCCAAGCGTCCGCCACTCGCGGTCTCCGGCAGCCAAGAGTGCCTGGACTCTAGCTCGACTTCCAACACGAGCACCCAGCTTCTCTCGCAGACGGTTAGTCCACCGCCCGCCCAGAAGGAGAGCCTTACCTCCCCACCCGTGGTGGCTCGGAAACCGTCGCCCTCGAAGCTCAAGCTAGACCTGAAGAAGGCCGAGCGCCCGGTCGTCCGCTCTCCCTTTGCCAAGGTCTTCCACCACCTCCCCGGCGGCCTTTTCAGCAGCTCGTCGAATCACGACGGTCAGGCCTCTCCCGCAGGCTCTGTCCCTTCGGCCTCGCCCAGCCCGGGCTTCGAGGTCCTCAACCGTCGGCCGCCCCGTCGTCCTAGGCCTCGAGTCTCGTTGGACATCATGAGCGATGCGGAGTCGACGAGCGGGCTGAGTGGCGAACAGGGTCGGCCGTCGGGCACGGCTTGTGATGAGCGAGCAATCATCGACGAACGGGCGTTCGGATCGGCGGAAGAATACGAGGAAGAACTGGTGGAAGAAGACGAAGAAGAAGAAGAAGAAGAAGATTCGGTGTACAAACGACGGACTAAAGCCCGCCGGAAACTCCGCAGACTCGCAGACGTCATCCTTCACACCGTCGTCCTCGTCGCCAACATCTTCTTCATCTCGTCCTGCTTGATCTCTCCCAACCAGCTCCGCTGGCTCGCCGCGCTCTTCATCGTCTTCATCATCTTCGTCTATTCAACCATCCTCTGGCTCGCTTGGAATGGGAAACCCTCCTCTGAATCTACCCTCGTTATCTTCCTCTCGATCATTAAAGACGGATCTAAAAACTTGATGGCTCATGAAACTCGTTCGTCCTCAAAAAAAAAAAAAAAAAATTCTTCTCATGTATGTAGATTGCAGTCCACTAATTTTGTTTTGTCTACTCTTTTTTTGGGGGACGTATCTTAGTGGCTGGATTAGGACAATTCTCGAGTTTCCAACAACAGCAACAAGTGGCCCAACAGATTCTCTCGCAACAACAACAACCGCTTTCGGGCATGGGAAGCAGTTCGGTTCTAGGAGGAGTCGGAGTCGGAGGAGTCGGAGGGGGGATGGGAGTAGGAAAGCGGAGCACGATCGGGAGTCGGTTGCAAGGATTTTCGATCTACGGAGGGTCTCAGACTGGGGGGGTCGGAGGCGGGAGTGTCGGCCAGGGCGGGGGCGGGTTTTTCGCAGGCTATCCGCCGGCCATCCATCCGGCCCACGAGCCGCCCCGAACCTCCTCCGAGCCCGACCGCGCCGAGCCCCTCTACGACTCCCATCGGCTCTGGGCCCAGGACGAGGACGACTTCTTCAGGCCGCAGAACGAGCTCCTCTCCGGCACTCTCTCCGCGGGCCTCAGACCCGACGAACCCAGAGACTCCTATCTCCTAGACCGCGAGGTCCAGATCGTCACTACCGCTCCCAAACGCGTCTTGGCTGTCGTTAATCGTTGATCTTTTTCTCTCTCTCTCTCTACCTCTATCTCTCTCTGCGATACCTTTCTCTTCTCCTCTTTCTTCCTATGAGAATTTACCTGCACTCGGAACCCCCATCATCATCGCCTCACATATCCCCCCAATTCTTGCTGGTTTAGATCCCCCTCCTCCTCCTCCTTTCTCTTTCTCTTTCGTCCAGACACATATACATTCAAAAGTCCCCGGCCTCTGGTTTACTTATCATCCTCTTTGGCTGTCTTGCTTGTTTATTTACTTCCCTTCCCTTTTTCTTCTTTTTTGTTTGACCCGTGGTTGGGATCTCCATCTCCATTATTGTTGTCGTTTTTTTTGTGCGTGTGTTTATGCGGGGGGGGGGGCTTAATACTCGGATCTTCTTGTGTGTGTGTGTGTTTTTTGGGCGCTTTATGGTTGGTCTATGGCTTCCTCATTATATCTATTTATCTTTCTCTTCTCTTCTGTTTTTTTATATCTTTTCCTGCTTCTTCTTCTTCTTTGGTCTCCTCTTCCTTACTTATATATACCCCCCCGCCCTAAAAACAGAAGAAAACCTGCTCTACCTCTCTGTTTTGTTCTCTTATTCTCAAGATTTCTCGTCCCATGATTCCAATTCTTTATAGTTTATCTATCTCACATGGTTTATTATTGTTATTGTTTGGTTAGTTGGTTAGTTAAATTGAGTAGTTGGTTCCAGGATAATCTGGGTTCCAGGACCTGATCCACAGCTCATCGAACCCTGCGATTTCTTGTTGGATCTTCTCCACCCACCCCATCTCTCTTCACTTTCCTGGCAGCCAGATATCCCCCACACCTGCGCATGATCATCCACTCCAAAACAATCCATATAACATTCCCCGCCTTCCGGTTTTGAAAAGCTGGAAATCGGTCTCATATGTAACACAAGAAACACAATATGGATGTTGGTTGTCTGTTGGGTTTTTGTGGAGGAGGTGGGAGTGGTTGAGTTGTTGGTTTCTGGGTGGGGGTGATCACACACACACATCTAATATATTGCTCATGTGTATAATAGGGGTTGTAGTTCATTGACTCCCAAATATTATTTGGGACGTTGCTAAGACCCCCTGTGGACAGTCCGCAGGCCGTCCACCCCCGGAGATGGGAGTCGGACCTCCCAAACCTTCAACAGGTTTGGGTGTCAATCCTCCCAAGAAAAAATAAAAATGAAAAACCCCGGGGGGTTTTTGGGAGTTGATCTTCAAAAACCCCCAGGGAGGTTGCGAGTCGGCGCCGGACTCTCAGCGGCGGAGAGGAATCCCTCTCCGCCGTTGAGAGTGTATACTCTCACTGGCCAAGAGGGATTCCTCCCGGCCGCTGAGAGTGTACACTCTCATCAACCAAGATGGATTCCTCTCGGCTGGTGAAAGAGTACACTTTCATGTACATGAGAGTGTACTCTTTTTGCTCATGTACAGTGCCTAGACAGTGAAAAGTGGCTGCTTATTTTGGATTCCAGAACTCCAAAACACAAATTTGAAATCATGAGACTTGGTCAGGTGGTGCATAATAGGTACCAAAAAATGAATATGAAATAATAAAAGCAAAAAATAAAGTTTCAAAATTTGTGAAAAATAAAAACAAAATTGATTTTTTTTCAAAAGCTTTGATATTCATTT